ATTATATATAATTTATAAATATTTATTTACATTACACATGAAATCATATAGGCCTAACAAGTATATATTTTACTATCCATTCATTTTTGTATTTTATAAACATGATCAGCAGCCAGCGCAGACGATTCGAAGTTACTGGTTTCATGAAGTAGGTAACGTGAACACACGTAAAATGGTGAACTGCGCTCCAGCGCACGTGTTTGTACCTAGAAATAGATAGTCATCTATTTTAGCATCTGACCTACTTCTGTCTTGGCAGAAAAAAAAAACTATGCGAAACTAATTTATTGACTATATTTATTCCATAAATCTTTATTTGATTCAAGCAGAATAATAAAAATTATATCAATATATATATATATATATATACTCGCAACTAGTATCGGATCGTCGATGCTATGTTTCGAGAGCAGAGATGTGCGTCCTTCTGTTGAATTACCTTGATTGAATTAAGTAAATCATTATTATCATTATATCAGTCATTATTAGGCCTATTATTATTATTAATATTATTATTATTATTAATATTATTATTATTATTATTATTATTATTATTATTATTATTATTATTATTATTATTATTATTATTATTATTATTTATATCATTTATATAGCGTCTTTTCTTTGCAGATACAAAGCGCTTCTTTTTTCTGGTCATTGGATTTACATGTAGTGTTGCTGCTAGTAGTCAGTGCAGGGGCAGGTAACCCGACCAGTTACCCATACTCCTGGGTGGTGAGAAGCAATGCAGATAAAGTGCCTTTAGCCGGTTCTCCACTAGGCGAATTTATTCGCGCAAATCGAAAGCGTCGTTCATGCGCATTCACATTTCTATCGGAGTTTTCGCTTCACCAAAATTGGTAGTTAGAAGTCTACTTTTTGTGAACCATAACTATATTCCATAGCACCTGAAACTTTTACAATTTAGAATTTAAAATCCTCATTTAATCGATTTTATAGTCTCATATCCTGTATAAAAATTACTTTGGATGTTTTTCCCCACAGATGAATTGTGACTTTTTGCAAATAAAAAAAAAGGGTAGGGGTTTTCCCCGGACCTCCGCTGACTCTGCAATTGTTAAGGAATGTTTTTTGTTATTGTATATTATACTTGGAGGATCATTTGTGGTATTTTATTTTTTTGAATTGTCTTGTTTGTTGTCTTTCTTGTACTGAAATGAAATAATACAAAATGAAGCGATTCCTGCCTTACTTTTTTGTGTTTTTCAGTTTTCTCCATCTGCTAGGGTCCAGAGCATCATTATGAAAATCTCATAAATGTCACGGACTTGAGAGGGCGGTTGTGAGTGTAATTTTACTTTGTTTTGTCGAGTAGAAGACAATATTTTAGATGAGGGTGTCTGGGCAGAGGTTTTCCCGATCTTGTTGTTTTCTATGCTCATTACTGTAGATACATTTCCCTGCATTGTAAGACTTCAAACACGTTTATTCATTGAGTACATACCTGAGTGAAATAATTATATTGATGATGATGTTAACGATTATTATAACAATAACGACTACAATGACGAAGATGATAATGGTATTGAAAATAATGATGATGCTGATGACGAAAAATAAGGCCAATAATGCCAGGTCATGGGAATCACTAAAACCCAGTGTTGATATTAATTCTTTTTTTTTTTTCACTGATCATTTTTGTGAAAGTCAGGCCGTCTATTTGAAAGGTTTTTATTTTTGGCAATTTCAAATTATACTTGTAATTGTAAATATATAAGCTGTCTGAAACTCCCCCCACCCCGAGTTATTGGTCAGCTCTAGAAACTATACAGGATATATATTGATATGACTGGTCACAATACAAAAGCCTAGCCCAGTCGCACCCCTGAGCCGCCCCCCATCCCCCACTCAATGCTCCACACAGAAAATGATTGAGGCAAAAAATGTATGTTCAAGTAGTTAAAACCACATTATTTTGCAAGCCAGCAACCCTTACTTAAATCATCAAATCCACATCACCTTGTGCCCTACCCCACCACCATCGTCCTCATTTAAAGACTCCTAAGGGGTTAATTTATATTAATGATGGTGCTGTTAGGGTAGTTATTGTCATTAAATTGGTGGGGCATGATTGGTAATGAATATGATTATGAAATTTAAGTGACACACTCAACGTACCAACCAAATACAAATACATTTTATATATACAAAGATTATTTAATGATCAGAATAATTCTGACGAACTTAGCTAAGTTAACCACTTTACTTCACTTCAAAAGGAAAGTTTTGCAATCCAAAAGCTCTATTCAAATTTTATGAAAATAATTGTGTGGTTTGCCCATATACAGGCATGATGATACCATACAACCCGTATATAGGAATGATATTGTCATAGCACACCCACATATAGGCATGGTGATGTCATATCACACCCATATGTAAGCATGATGATGTCATACCACAACCCATATAGTCTACGGTCAAATCATGACCTTTTGTCACTAACACTTGATATTGTGAGTAGAACTTTACAATAACAAAACAATACATGAGAATGGACTGTCGTGCCTGAGCGGTGGCGGCGCCAGCAGAATACAGAAACTTTATTAGTCCAAAAAAAGGAAATTTGTTTTGTTGACAAGCTCAAAAGGGGAAGAGGGGCATAACCCCAACCATCGGACAAGTCAAGCGTCAAGAACCTCCCACCCACC